AATGTAGATCCGAGCGTATTTTGTACATCAAGTGAGGGGCTTGGAGGACAAGGCGCATAAGTGCAGTTTTTGCTATTTCGAAAAGTACGTTTTAAATTTCGAAATTGCATTTATCTTTATGGTGGAATTAAGAACGGTCGAACTGACTTTTCGATGCCTAAGAATTGGAATTTAGGAGCGAGTTTTTCACAGAAGATGCATTAAGACTACTTTCTCTTGAAATCATCAAAACCTCAATTTTTCTTTTAAAAAACTGCACCTATGCGCCTTGTCTTCCAATCTCCTCAGTTGTGTACAGTGCATACGCAAGAGACAAAATCGACAACGCAAATTTTGCACGGGTAAAATAAACGCACCGTAAGTATGACGTTCAGCACATTAGAAGTGCAAAGGGGCAATTCTTTGCACGTTTCTTTAATCCTAAAATCAGCATACGTTAGTGCGCCTGCATTTTCGTCTGATACCGTGCAATGCTTCTGTGGCGGAATAGAGCGCCTTCAAGAGTATCGTCTCGACTCGATGACGGAAGATCACTATTAATCACCGCTGAAATCACTATCTAGCGCAATTACGCATTTAGGGTACTGTACGAAAAGTGTCCAATTTGATGTCCCAATAATTAAAAATTCAACTTTATCTTTTCTACTCGGGTTTTTTTTTTCTAGCTGTGATCAGTGGCAGGCTTAAAAACTTAATTTGAGTACTTTTTGTGAGGCATTTATTTGTTTTTTACTAAGAATTATTTTAAGAAATTAGCCCGGATGTCACGGCCGTCACATCGATTAGGTGTACCTACCAATCAACAGAAATTTGTCAAATAATGGGGTATGTTCAGAGTCATACTGTTAGACCTTATCAAAACGATGGGACAAAGAAAATCAGCGGCTCAATGTTTGTTTTCAATCTTATATTGCTTTTTTTTCCAAGTTGTGCAGATTATGCAGATTCATTTTCAGAAAAGAAACCACAATTTTTCTTAAGTTTAGGATACAATACCTGTATAATCGTATTTTTTTCATAAACACCTAAAAGTTCGTCTATAAAAAACCTCAGAAGTTTAAAATTGGCATTCGTTGCATAAATCTGAAAAATTGTGACGGTCGTGAAGTACGAGGGTCATTCCAGAAGTCCTGTGAGTTTTAAAATGGACATTTAAAAACCATTAAAGATAGAAAAAATCTAATTGTATTCTTAAATTACGCATACTTTAAGCTTCAATTTCAGCCCAAGTTTTTTTAAAATCGGACTATTGGGATGCTCATTTGGTGGTCGATTCTCCCGCTACGTCGCACAGTGGAGCGAGTCAATCTCAATAGGAGAGGTCGGACAAAATTTGGAAACTTTAAAAGCTCGTAACTTTGTTTATACAAAAGTTTAAGGCTCTGAAAGTGGCCCCATTGGTTTCCTCGTAAAATTTTCTTCTGGGAGCTTCCTTGAAAAATTAAACTGTGATGAAATCAACATCAAAATTTGCAGTTTTAGTGGAAAATTTTATGCCCGAACTCTTCTACTAGCTCGTTCCACTGTGCGCCGCCACCTCCAAACACGCAATAATGGAGATGTTGCGTGTGTGAGGAATTTGCGAGTTGACTATTGATTCTTGTGTAAAAATTGGCGAGAAACACGATGGTGCCACTGGTTTTCTCTGAAATCAACTCCCAAGCTCATAAAAAGCTCTCAAGTTGAGGCCAAAATGGAGGGAATATTCCACGCTAGCCTGAGAGTACACCTCTCCATCAAAACAAACTCTCCATGCAAAGATAGGGAGCAAATACATCGACAGGGCTGCCACTTTATTTGGGGACTCGAAAACTGAAAACACGGCAACCCTGCTAATGTATTTGCTCCGTATCTTTGCATGGAGAGTTTGTTTTGATGTAGAGGTGGTGATAGGGTGGGATATCCCCTCCATTTTGGCCTCAACTTGAGAGCTTTTTCGAGCTTGAGAGTTAACAGAGAAAACCAGTGGCACCATCGTGTTTCTCGCGAACTTTTACATAAGAATCAATAGTTAAACCGCAAATATTCCTCACACATGCAACATCTCAATTGTGGTAAAAAAATAACAACGTACAGGGGCGGACTGGCCGTGGGGGCGGGGAGGCGATCCCCTCCTAACAATTTGCCGCGGAAGTCCCGAAGGGGCCCCCGCGACGAATGTTTTTCAAGCCATCGTTTTTTCCCCGTAATGTTGTAATTTTTTATCCTTTTCAGTCACTAAAAGGCCCCGAAATCCTCGAAAATTTGTCTCTAAGAAACATGAAAGGTCACCTAAAGCTTGTGTGATGAAGGGGCCCCCGAAGAATCCTGAGAATGGGTTATTTTGAAGTTCAAGTACTGTAGAATTTAACTCAGATAATGCTGAAAATTGCGATTAAAAAGTGTGAAATTTTCAAAATTTTCCGGGGGAGGGCCCTCTGACCTTCTTATAGGGGCCCCCGAACGACAGGAGGGGCCCCCACATCTAGGTCGCCTCCTAACTTTTCGACTACCAGTCCGCCCCTGACAACGTATAGTTAAATTTTGACATTTAAATACGTTTACTGGCAAAAGCTAACAAGTTTCTTGATATCACTTTTCTGCATTATCACCTGGACGTAGTTCTACCAAAGAGACCTTTGTGGAAGTGAGAAATATGGGGTGTGCTCGTTAGTCTCTTTGCGTGGCGAGTGAATGAGAATAATTGTGCGCCAGTGACGTCAGCGGAGGAGGACGCCGCGTCACGTTCCTCGTGGTTGCGGTAGTCGTGCTCATTAACTCATGAGCCCTATCCACAAGGCTCTCTTGCCATGCCCGCGGCTCATGAGTTCCGCATTCAGTTGCACATAGGTCTCTTTGATAGAATGCAATATCCCGCTTTGCCAATTCTTCAAAAGGAACCACGCCCACTTTTACATTGCTTCTTATGCAGCTTCCACGAGCACACCCCACATTTCTCATTGCCACATAGGTCTGTTTGGTAGAAATATGTCCACCTTTAACCATCAATCACTTCTCACGTCGCGTCACGAGCTTACTGATCCCCGCATCTTAAAATTCCATTGACTGGTTTAGGAACGATGGGTAAACCTCGCACACTTCCAGCAATCGTCACATTTTCCCAGTGAACAGCTTGCAGAGTGCAATGATTGTCTCACAGTTTAACATCGTCCAAAGTGAAAAATCAGAATTATCGAACGAACTTCACAGTGCACTTCGACGGTGAAACTATCAAACCACGTATCTCGGTTTGCGACGTCGCAGACTTCCTGTCATACTTTATTTTTTAAATGAAAAACTACTTAACATCCAGTCTTGAAAATTTCTGTGATTTTTCCTCTTTGTGCGGAGAAAATTCCGTGAAAATTTCAAGGAATGCTGTTGATTTGTTTTCCTTTCAAAAAATAAAATGTGAGCGTAGATTTTTAAACACCGCAAACGAGATACGTGGTTTGGTAGTTTCACCGTCGACTTGTTTAGAAACAGCCACAACTTTCCAACGCACTGCTCCGCACACTTGCAAACAGCACTAGAACACAGCTTTGAAAGGAAAACTGATTCACTGATTGCACTCATCATCACAGGCGTTACAGACAGCATGGTGATCAGGTAGGTGAACAATAATAATCTGGTGGAAAATGTTAATAAAGATTTTAATTTGATAAGATTTTCCGTCGATTATCTCTGCGACCGTTCGCACATTTTGTTCATCATATTTGGGCTACATTTTGCAATTAGGAACTATAATTTCTGGCCCATCTGAAAAAACACTTCCGTGGATAGGGAAATCAATGATACATACGTTGTTTCTAAATTGAACCGGAATTTGTAGCTCCGAATTGCAAAATGTGATCCATTTATCACGCGCCTGGAGGTGGCAGGAGACGCACTGGCGCACAGTGGATCGAGTCAGTAGGAGAAAGGGGACAAAATTTGGAAACTTTATGAGCTTATAACTCCGTTTATAATAAATTTTGAGGTTCTAAAAGTGGTTTCACTGGTTTCCTCGTGAAATTTTTCTCGAGAAGCATTCCTAAAAATTGAAAATGTGACGAAATAAACATCAAAATTTGCAGTTTTAGTCGAAAATTTCCTGCCCGACCTCTTCTACTTGCTCATTCCACTGGGCGGAGCCGGTGGCGTGGACGAATTGACTTCCTGAGCGCCCTATGGTCCAATTTTACTTAAATAAACTTCAGCTTAAAATAAAATGCGTAAACCGGAGATGTAATTGGATTCTTCCTATCTTCAATGGTTTTTTAACAAGAGCAAAGCGCACAGGACTTTTGGAATAACCCGAGATACTTGAGGGGCTTGGAGGACAAGGCGCTAAAGTGCAGCTTTTGCTGTTTCGAGAAAGACGTGTTCAAAGTTGCGAAATTGCACGGATCCTTCTGGCGGAAAGAAAGTTAAACTGACTTTCTGATGCTTAAAAATTAGAATTTGGGAGCGAATTTTTCACAGTATATGCATTAAGACTAGTTTCACTTGAAATCACTCAATTTTTTCAAAAACCGCACCCATGCGCCTTGTCCTCCAAAATGCGAGCGGAAGTTACGGCGTCAAGCGAATATTTACCGGAAGTATTCAGCTTTTCCGGTTATATTAAGTGATCGCTAGAAACACTATCTCATTGGGTGCGAAAGTTACAAAGTTACAGCATCAAGTCAATATTTACCGGAGATATGGAGCATTTCCGGTTACATCAGGTGATCACCGGAAACACCCTTTAATTTTGCGCGTAATTGTAGCGTCAAGTGAATATTCACCGAAAATATTCATTTGATGTATACTTTTGCGCGCGATGAGACAGTGTTTCCGATGAACCGCAAATGCCAAACACTTCCGGAAAAAATAACCCATACAACAGTAAACACAAATACAACGGGATTGCGCTCAGCCAGAACATGACCGCAATTTCATAATTGGCGCCTTGTATTTGTCTTCGAAAGGCGGGAACTCAAGAAAACCGCCACAACGTTCTAAAGTTAGTTATCAGCAGTTTTCAGAATTTGAGGTTATGTTGACACGGCAACTTTGTTATCGGCATTGTGAACGATAAGGGGAAATACTGCAGTAAGCAGTAACTATTGGGTAAATAAAAATTGTTTATGTGTAATGTGCGTTGGCATTTTCTCAACAATATCCTCCATTCTTTCTTCTAGTATCGCGAACAGTTTACATTTATGAGATGGAAATATTTTCGATGTCTCTCATTGTTTACGGTCTAATACTTGGTGCTATTTTGCTGATGGTGAGTAGTTATTAGGTTTATTTTCTTAAAATTTTCCTCTTTTGGCCGCAGTTTTTTCTGTTGCTTTATATTGGGTGTTTCTGAATCACTCATCCATGCATACTCATGGTTCCAAATCATGTCCATGGAAGCTTAGGTGGCGTTATACCGAGTCATTAAAAAGTGCAACACTAGTTTTCTAAGTTTTTCAGGTCAGCAAATAATGCTATTCCTGTATCACACGATCAAAACAGAGCTTTTGAATTGGGTTCATGTGATCCTTTCTGACCCGCCAAGATCATCAACTCGTTAATCTTTGAGGGTGATGCGACGCCACTTTGAAAGCACGCACACTTTAATCCTGTGATTCGGGCTCTACCCTTTACTATCTGTTCCATTTGAGTCAACACCCATTATGAAACTGTTTGCTGTCTGATGAGTAGAATACCTCTAAGTAAAAATTAATATGAAAAGTTTTTGATTATAATGCTTCATTATTTTGGACATTATCACATCCCAAGTTCATGTTAAGGACAAAGTAAACAGACCGTAGGAACCATTACAGCAATTTGGTTTAGGTGTAAAAAAATGTTGAAATTTTGGAAGTTTTTTTGCCACACCAGCGAAGTGCATTCCCCAGTGTCGAATTACAACTTTGAATCCACTCTTTTCTCAGTTCGAACGATTTTCTATAGCTGGAAGAATCAAAATGACTTCTCTTTTTCAGACAAAGGAAAGTTAGTGTGTAGTGTGACGAAATCAAGACCTGAGCACAGATTTTTTTTAATAGTATAATGTTAAATATGGATTGGAGAAAGCAGGTTCCGACAACAGATTGATACAGCATCATTACGGCATTTTAGAAGGGTGGCTTGTTACAAGCAATTAGACTTTGTATTCAATCTGTGCTGTAGAATAAATTTTTGATGGTGGCTGTTTTAATTTCGATGGCCATTTTAATGATACAGGTAGATGCAACCAGTTAAGAAAAGAAGAGGGTAAAGAGTAAGCAGAGAAGAGAGAAGTTTGTCTCAGGTCTACGGACCCGGGGCTTGCAATTTGAAAGGTACAAATAAAAAAGCATAATCTTTTGAGGTTTGTCTACGCAGGCAATAAGTGACCATGCGTAGATACCGCATTACAAGATATTGTCTTTAATACTAATGGCTTTTGATGCAGGCAAGCTGGGGTGCAGACAATTTGTAAGCCAGTATCCAGGTGATAAAAGGTGAGCAAGAAAATGCTTTTTTGAGAAGACATGTTTTGGCACATCGCCTGTCTCTACTAATAGCAGAGAAGAACAGTCTGCACCTCTAGAAGCAGCATCTTATCCGCAAGACTTTCACCATTTGATGTGTCATTCATTTATGTTTTCTGACTTTTTAGCTTGGTATATTTCTTGGGGTATTCAGCTCTCCCTATGTGCGTGTAAAACGGTACAGAGAGGAACATTATTTCGTTGATCCAAGCAGCGGAAAGAAGGTTAAGTTTCCATCTCTCCAAGATGACCCCACCGTAACGCTGAGTGTGATCATTCCAGCTTATAATGAACAGGATCGATGTAAGCTATAAATTTTCCTTTTTTCTTTTCTCACTTCTTTATGCGTCAAAAATTCAAGTTTTTTTCTTTTCTTAGTACTAAAATCCTGCTAATCTCGGAGAATTTCTCCAGCATTTATTGAGAAACTTACTATCGCCCCTAAAATATCTGACTTCCTGAAGAAATGACAAAAATATGAAATTATGAAATATGAATACTGCTGAAATATGAATTGGATCTTGTCGCGTTCAATTTTTAGCATGCCCAATATTATTCAAAGTCTTAAGCTTAGAAAAGTGAGGAGTAACTTTCTTTAAAAACTAGTCGCAATAAAAGTGAAAGAAAGTGGAACAACTAAAAAGAGACTAACATCCACCTATTGTTTGTAGGTCTGATGCTGAAGTAAAATCATACATTTTACGTAATTGTAATTTAGGGCATATCATGCGAACAACGAACATATTTCACAAGGATCTGAGAACTTACAGGCTGAAGATGAACTTATTGGGCAAAGTGAATTGGTTTGTTTCTTCAGGTTTCTGTTTTACCAATAAGTGTTACCACTCAAACTTTTATTTTGTTTTCCTTTTCAGTACCCATAATGCTAGATGAATGCTTAGAATTTTTGGAGGAGAGGGAGAAGAAAACGCAAGGCTTTACTTATGAACTTATCATTGTCAGTGATGGAAGTAATGATAAAACAGTTGAAGTAGCGTCTGATTATTCATCCAAGTATGGCTCAGAGAAAATCAAAGTCCTTGAGCTTATCAAGAATCGAGGGAAAGGTGGAGCAGTAAGGCTGGTGAGTACGTCGGTTTTCTCAACCATGACTTCTGTTGTAGGGGAAACCAAAGGTATGAATGGGTCTGTTAAATGTAACGTAGAAATGTGTTGTGACGAATGATTTTTACTATGTTGTCTTCAGTCTGAAAAGGTTGGAAAAAAGACCAAAATTTCTTTGTAAGTAGGATTATAAGTACTGAACAAGTACAGAAGTGTAATGTGCATGTTCATTTGTTTAAGGATGACATGAGTATCACAGCATGTAGTAACAATGAAGAGTAGGAGAGCAATCTGCTAGGGTAACCATTTTGTGAAAAGAGTTGAAATCTTCTGAATGTAACACTTCATTATTTGACATGTGTAGTCAAGAAAATAAGCACATATTTGAGTATTTCTTTTAATGGATAGGAGTTCTAGATTTTTTTTAAATTTCAAAAAATTCTAACATTTATGATTTGTCCTCTTTTCGGTTGCCATTTAAATATAAATGGCAGACTTTTAGGTCATGCATCGTCAACAACAAAAAATAACAAAACACAACAAAAAATTGAACTCAAAAGTTTGAAATTAGATATTGTGTTTATTGTTACAAAATTTATTTCAAAGACTGCAAAGTTGGTCATTTAGGACGAACAAAAGAGCAGCAGTATAGAAGGATTTACTCCACTCGATTTTAATCACATGCAAAATGCTTTTTTTCAGCTATTGATTCTCCTTTAATTTTTTGACCATTCATGTTCTCGATGAAATGTCTGAGAGCCTATTTTGATGAAACCTGATTTTGCCTTTATTTTACTCCAGTGCAAATGTACTGACCATGGCCATGGAAGAGTCTATTTTCCAGCTTTGGGTTTTCTCAATTCTCGACACAGTCGTTCACAGACAGCCATTGGAATCTCTTGCTTGCCTTACAGTATTTTTCAAATTTTGATTTTATTTCCTTTTTAGGGTATGCTGAGCGCCAGAGGGGCTATCCTATTGTTTGCTGATGCTGATGGTGCAACAAAATTTGCTGAACTTGAAAAATTGGAACAGTATCTGTCTCTGTTATGTAAAGGTACATGTTTTGAAGTGTTTTTTTAATTTCTCTTACACTGAGAAAAAATATTGACTGTAATGAAGATAAATTAAAGCAGTGCTTTGAATATCTTTTACGGAGGACCATTCCAGAAGAATCCCGAAGTATGCACTTTTTTAAACGAAATAGAGTTTTCAAACTATTGATGGATTTCAAAACTTTAGGGTCCATAGACTTAAACGAAAGAATGAAGATGTTGCATGTGTGAGGAATTTGCGATTTGACTGTCCATTCATATGTAAAAGTTTGCGAGAAACTTTATGGTACCACTGGTTTTTTTTGAAATCAACTCCCAAGCTCAAAAAAAGCTCTCAAGTTGAGGCCAAAATGAAGGAGACATCCCACCCTACCCTGAGAGTCCACCTCTACATCAAAACCAACTCTCCGTGCAAAGATAGGGAGCAAATACATTAGCAGGGTTGCCGTGTTTTCAGTTTTGGAGTCCCCAAATAAAGTGGCAGCCCTGTCAATGTATTTGCTCCCTATCTGTGCATGGAGAGTTTGTCTTGATGCAGATGTGCACTCTCAGGGTAGGGTGGGATATCCCCTCCATTTTGGCCGCAACTTCAGAGCTTTTTTTGAGCTTGGGAGTTGATTTAAGAGAAAACCAGTGGCACCATTGCGTTTCTCAAGAACTTCCACATTAGAATCAAATTAATAGTCAAACCGCAAATTCCTCACACATTCAACATCTCCTTTGGCTATGGTTGATTATCCTTCATTTTTAAGTATCAAGTACAGATGGAAGCTTTATCCATTCACTTCTGCTGAAATACATTTTGAAATACTTTGAATTGAGAGCCCAATATTGTCTCCAACGTTACATTATATTCATCAACATTTTCCTATAAATTTCTTTTTCAGCTGACATTATCAAAGATCAAGCAACTATTGCCAAAAAGCATGCAATTGTTTGTGGTTCCCGAGCGCACCTCGAAGAGGAGGCTGTTGCCAGCCGCACCTTCTTCCGAACTCTGCTTATGCATGGGTTTCACCTGGCTGTCTGGTTGTTGGCAACACAGAAAATCAGAGACACACAATGTGGCTTCAAATTACTGACCAGAGAAACTGCTAAAATCTGTTTCAGCAACCTACATGTTGAAAGATGGTAAATAAAACATTTTCTAGATTATTTTGTGACCCTTCACATGAAGGAGCAAGCTTTCTAGGGGAGGTTTTTTGTCAATCAATCCGTCATCACTCTCAGTACGGCACATTATTTCTATGCTAAGGAAAAGTTGTGAGGTGGCAATGCTCTCCCATACAAAATACTTCAATTGAATTGGTTTCTGTCAAAACGACGTAAGTTCAAAAAGTACGGAGTCGTAGCAGTCTGCGTAATCAATAAAAGCCAGGGCTCATGATTTCTTAGACTTACACCCGTTTAATAGAAATCAATTCAATTACGGATGGGCTGTAAGGAAGACCTGTCAAACCATGGTCAATGATGGTGAATTGTGATAGAATTTGCCAAAACCGAAGAAATAAGCCTGTAAAAGAAAGGGAAATAAGCCTGTTGAATAAAGGATGTACTTTCATGAAGAGTTCAAGTTTGAAGATGGCAATGCTCCTCCCGTTTATAATTCTGGCTTAGCAATGAGGATGCATCATTGCATCCCTATTCATACGTAAGTTTTTTCATTGGAAGGATTTTTAACTTTTTAAACCAGGCAGTTATGCTGGTATGGACATGTGCAAAGAATGTCGGAGGAGAGGTTGCCCAAACAAGTTTTGGATTGGGTACCACCTGGGAAGAGGCGACGGGGACGTCCCGTAAAGGGTTGGCGGCAGGGCGTTGACGAAGAGATGTTGCGGTGTCGGTTGCCTGAGAACCTCTAGGAAGACAGGCATATGTGGCGTTTGGGTGTCGTAGAACGCCAGAGTGCGTTGTAAAGCGACTTCACACACACACACACACACACACACACATATATATATATATATATAACTTTTTTTCCAATTGGTCAGCTTGGAAAATCGTAGCGAGCAAGTTTCGTTCACGTATTTAGTAAATTTTGGCTGTTGCCAAACTACAAATAAAGATAATCAACTGAAATCTCTTCCAAGGGTCTAAAAAATAAGAAGAAGCAAGTGTTTTTTCTTTCACTGATTCCCTTTTGAATTGCAAGAAAAAAATGATATGCTCCCAATTTATTAAATCTTAAGAAAGGTTGGAACTACACCTTTATGTTACAGGTACCAATAGGCCTCCTGGCATGGTATGAATTAAAGCACTTCGCACTTGTTTTCTCTCCAAAATTTCAAGGAGGAAATAGTTTCTAAAGTGGCAGGTTTCAAAGTAAAGTGTTTGAAAATAATTTTAGTCAAATGATTGTGTAGCATTGTGCCTTTTAAAGATAGATTAAGTATTCCATAGTGCAAGCAAACGACAGTACTGTTGTTTGCTTGCAACAAGGGTGAAAAAATTGCCTTACCAAGTGAGCATCCTAGTTGCATGCTGGTTGCAAGCCTTAAAAAGATTCGTGCAACCTCGTGTCTCGTTTGCAGTGTTTGAAAGTCTCCGTTCGGATTTTATTTCTCCAAAGAAGAACAAATCAACATTGTTCCTTGAAGTTTTCACAAAGTATTCTTCGTACAGAGAAGAAAAATCATGGCAGTTTTTAAGAATAGCCGTTGTGTACTTTTCTACTTAAAAAATAAAGTGTGATAGGGAGTCTACAACCTCGCAAACCAAAATTTGTGGCTGCGGACTTACACCGTCGATATGACATTTTAGTGATGAAAATGTCCAACTCTTGGGGTGATAGGTTTTTCCCCTTTTTCTATCCTCAGGTGAAAGTGACCATGAATTTTGGTTAAAAACGGGGAAGGTTGATTGAATTTGGAGAAATGCCTCAAACTTTCTCCACCCCTGATTTCCACCTTTTCATTTTTTGATTCCCCTCAGGAATGATAAAAAAAATAAAAAGAAGGGTAATCATACTGACTGCTCCCATCTGTTAGTTATAAACTTTTTAGAGTGATAAGTGTTCGAATCATGAATCTCAAGTCTTTAATTTTATTTTCTTAGGGCGTTTGATGTTGAGCTGCTGTACATTGCTGACTGCTTCAATATTCCAGTGGGTGAAGTTGCGGTGACGTGGACTGAAATTCCTGGTGAGTCAGTTTTTTTGTTATTTAATTTTGAAGTGTGATAGCTTTAATGGTCTGTAGTGGGAATTAGTAAATGGTAATTTTGACTTCCCAGGAACTGTGATTTGAGGTCATTGAATATACAAAGGTACATAAAATGCCTGGTCTAAGAAGTTTTTTGGGGATGGCTCAAGGTCTTGAGCCCTAATCACTGCTGATCTTGTTTTTTTTAGAAAGTACAGCTTTCATAATTGAAGTGTTTTTGCTGAATTTAGATTTTTATTTTTATCTCAACCGCTCTTTGATAATGATAGCTGAGGGTAATTTAAATATGAACATACTCAGTGCATAGACGTACCATGTTCTTTGCTTAAAGAAGTTACACTAATAAAGATAGTGGGAAGGAAAAAATAAGGGGGAAAAATGGAAGTTGTCTTTTACCTGTGATATCAATCATTGTGTTTGATTAGCACCACGGTTCCTGGAAAAGTGGATATCGATGTGGAAAGAAACTGAAATAAGAGCCCTAAGATATTAACAATCAAACCTCACTTTTTGACAGTTTTATTATTTGTATTTTACAGGGTCTAAAATTGTTCCCGTTCTAAGCTGGATCCAGATGGGTAGAGACCTTGTCCTAATCTGGTTGCGGTACAAGGTTGGAGCATGGAAACTCACTAAAAATCCAGGTGAGTTCCTCTGTCTATATCATTGTCATGTTTCTCTTCCCGAGAATTGGATAATTTTGAGCAAAATTTTTTGTGCAAGCAATTTTCGTGTTTGAATAAGGTTAAATATGTAGGGGTCATTGAAATTAAAATCTAGTGCTCCGTTGAAAAATGACAATGCTCACAACAGTGCATAACAAAGATGGCTCACTTTCCCAAATGGACCACTAGACAAGGTGCAAATTCAACCATTATGATACATCTATACTTAACACAATTTCATGTAGAACCTTATTTGTACAACGAATATTAAGTACAAAGTAACTTCTAACCAAGATATCAATGTTTGTCAATAGATTCAAATTTCCTGTTCATAGAAAAAACGATACTCTATTCAAGTTGAATTACACACTAAACGCAACTGTAACAGTCTCTGTGGTATGAAAATGTACCAACCTACATCTCAGTGCTTTGGCTCAGCTATTGCACATTGTTTACACTTCGGACCATACAGGGCCAGGGGGGAACATTGCCAGATCAAGAAGCCTCCCAAACCGTTGTAATGCTCGATTTGATTCAAGGAGACTCTTCTCTTCTAACCAATGCTAAATAAAACTGTCATCAGCTTTGTTTGGTCGTCATCAGTTATTTTTGTTGCGCAGAGACCGTTCCATGTGAATTTTGAAGAGGAAATCTATCAGAAAGCGTAAACCAGAACGCATAAATTCGTACCTTGTCTAATAGTACTACAGCTCCAACAATCATAAAAAATTGGGTTTACAATGGTTTTCCATCATGAAATCTCTTGTGAATCCCACCAGTGATGCAGTAACTTCCCGCCTTGCGACCAGCCTGGCATTCTGACTTGGTCGCATAAAATGGAAGAACTCCCGTGAAAACAGGAAAAAATGGTGGAACACTGTCAGATCTTCTCAAGATTTTTATTCTTAAGTCGCTGAACAGTTAAAAAGATCTCAACAATTTTAATAGATCCTGGTTGAAATTGTTTCTCTCAGGTTCAGTGTGTTTAGTAGTTGAAATCTTTCAGGAATAAAATTTCTTTTTTCTTTTCTTTCTTTCAGATTATTCAAAACTGTACGGAGAGCAAGCAACTAGCTAGGGTCTCAAAAAGATTGCTTTCTCCACCAGTGGGGACTGCCGAGGATTTTTATGAAAACCCAAAGAATCATTATCTTGGATTATTCAGTTCTACCCCCAAACTTTGGTGCTTTTGTGGATTTACCGATTCCCCCTCGACTATTTTTCGTAAGATCTCCCTTAATTTTTTTTCTTACGATTTTTCTTACTTTTTACTCTTACAATTTCACTTTGTTGCCCTCTGTTTGGAGAAAGGCCTTAGGTGATATTAGAACAACATTCTGATGCATGTTTTATGTATTGTTAATTTTGTCATATAAATCACGAAGTCCCATGGATTGTATCATAATCAGCAAAATATTATCTTGTGCTAAGATTGTTTAGCGCTGATGGCAGATTTCCCCCCTTCAATTTGGAGGTTACCAAAGGGGGAAAAAAAGTGAAGTCAAAGAATCCTAAAGAAAACATGAAACATTTAGGAATGTTTGCAAGGAGCTAAGAAAATTCAGCAAAAGCAGGCATCGCAATGAGTAATTGTACTTTAGCAGCATTGGTCAGCGTTTCCAAATGATCAAACATAATATAATTCATAAGTGTTTGCTGTCATGTCAGCCTTATTATCGTATCAGTAAGCTGAGCTTAGATGATAAGGTTTTATGTGCAGCTGCCTCCTTCTCTCGATACTTCCAATATGCGTACCGAGAATAGCAGAAGACAGTAAGTGATCAGGTGATCACCTTTTAGAGGGCATATGTCACAATGCCCACTGATAATTATCAATGTCGATGCAATCACACTGCTCTTAGGTTTTGACACCCTCCTTTTAAAACACATGTGATACAATTTAGACCGCGTCAAAGGCTTGACGTACGGCAGGAGAAGTAAGACAGGGTGAGGAATAAAACACATTCATTTATTCGGAACCCCTTGAAAAATCGAAAATTGCGCAAGAAGGTCCGTAATTTTCGTTTCATACCATGCTTGGTTTTTAAGATAGCGTTGAAAGTATACAGTCCCTTAGGCATTGATCCGTAGTACAGTATTTTCCTGCTTGATCGGGATTATGTGGCTAGTATATCTGCAGGCTGCCTGTGAGCTTCGAATTTCCTGACTACATCTTTTTTGTCAGGATTCGCGAGTGAATTTTGAAATTTTGTCTCACATGAAGATATTGAAAAATCACTGGATTTTTCTGTCAAGGAGATCCTGAATTTTTTGAGAATGCACTTGAGAAGTGCTGTAGAAGTACTGATTTTTTGCCAGTCAGTGTTAGTAGACATAGACACCCTGGTATGTGTATATTTAAACATTACCTAGAGCACTATACAACTCTCAATCGCCCAATCCTCCCATAGATGATCAGGCAAATGACACCTCCTGATCTCTTCGGCAACGCCCTGCCACCAGTCTTTTACTGGACGTCCATGCCGCCTCCTTCTGAGAAGAACACAATCGAACACTCATTTGGAAACCAACCATCTTCCATCCTCAGCTTTTGTCCATACCAAATCAATAGCTTGATTTTGATACCTGGCACCAATCCATCAATTTTGTAAAGAAGAACAAAATCGAACACTCATTTGGAAACCAACCATCTTCCATCCTCTGCTTTTGTCCATACGAAACCAATAGCTTGATTTTGATACCTGGCACCAATCCATCAATTTTGTAAAGAAGAACGCAATCGAACACTCATTTGGAAACCAACCATCTTCCATCCTCTGCTTTCGTCCATACGAAACCAATAGCTTGATTTTGATACCTGGCACCAATCCATCAATATTGTAAAGAAGACCGCAATCGAACACTCATTTGGAAACCAACCATCTTCCATCCTCTGCTTTTGTCCATACCAAACCAATAGCTTGATTTTGATACCTGGCACCAATCCATCAATTTTGTATTCTCAGCACTGAATGCCCTTTCCCATGTACTTTCACATTCTTAATTGTTTCAAAGAATGTGTTAGAAGCTTTAGTTTTCAATTAGCTCAGAGTACAAAATAGCACCTTGTTTTATTATGTAAAACAATTATTTATTTTAAAGCTTACTCCTATCAATCTGCCCCTAAATAATTTCTTCAGGCCCCATGGTCGTGACTGAAGTGTTAAATCACGCTTCACTGTTATTTTCGAGATCTTGCTGTGATATTTTGTAATAACCTCGTAAAAGTAATTTCTCATTGTAATGGAATATAATGTTCCATCATGCATTTTCTTTTTTAAGTCTTCTAATTTTTATTTTTGTAATGTATAGTTTAGGCACGTGAATTTGTGTATCATACACTTCAATAATCGAAACACGTATTTAAGAAAGTCTTTAGTTTTTATTAGTTTTTTTCCTGGTTCATCAGAATAAAAATGAAGTTCAGATCGTATCTTTTTCCAATTATATCAGCACTTTTGAATTTATATTTTTACCTGATTTGCAGTAATGTATTTCGACTTCCTCTATGCATTTTTGTAAATGTTTCATTTGTTAAATGTTAATTAAATAAAACCAAATTTTTCTAGTTTTTAACCTCTTGATACTTTATCAACATTCCCTACCATCATATTTTACCAACACAACTGCATTTGACCTAGCAGAGAGGAATGAAATTAAGGTTTTAAAACCTCACATGATTTTTTCAAGGTCTGATAACATCAAACTTGGGTGAACTGAGAACGAAACAAAAAATTGCACAATCGTACGCACTTCACCTACTCGGTTAATTTTGAGATCATCAATAAACGTCCAAACCTCTTTTTTCTGGGGTGGTTAATTATTCAAGATACAGAATGGGGGTCCTGATAAAGCCACTTTTGACGTTATATATGTTGTGTCTTTGATGGAAAAACTGTACGATTTGTTTTATTTTTTTTTTTTTATTAAAACTCATTTCAGCTAAACTTTAGAAAGACTAAATTATTTCCCTCATTTTTACAGTATTTACATCATAAAAGACACTTGATTCGTCCTTTTAGTTTAGCTTTAATTTAGTTTCAATCCTATGAATTACTGGCTTTCCGCAAGTTCGTGAATAAGACTGAGGCGTGTGTGATGACAAGCTCCACAATTCTCGACTGATGGACTGTGTCTAGAAGAGAGTTTAAACACGATCTTGTATCTTTGAGTCGAAGGACCGTTGGGCCGAACACTATCCCCAAGTTTCCAGGAGACATATTGTTGACTTCATTCTGGTCTGCTACCCGTTTCAAATGTTGCATGATGAACCTCACTGTCGCATAATGGCACTTCGGTAACTTGTTGAGCAGAGATCGCAATTCTTCTATACAATGTTTGGTTTGATCTTTGGTTGGAGTACAAGGCCAGTTTTTCGCCAGCCTGGAAAATTGGGAAAATATATTAATGGTTCTTTCTTTATACAAGTTCTAACCAATTAATAGTATTGAAGGAGAGTTTCTCTTCACTTGTGTCAAAATATCTTAAGTCGAACTAACTTTGTAGGAAGTGGCTGTTCAATGTAATACTCTAGGGAGAGGGGAGTCGAGGAGAGTGTTACGCCATTTTGTCTTTACATGTTAAAGGATGAAGACCTGCGCACCAAGAGTGTTTTGAAGCAGGTGGGATGGAGGGGGTAATAAATTTAGCCTTACGTTTTTTTATGAACGGTTCCTGTACGAAGATTGGATGTATCTCTTTTTAAAGCCTTGTATAAGTTTATAAGGAAGTCCCCTAACTGTATGAAGAATAAATGGGAACAGTTTTAACATGCGGAGCTTTTGAGCAAACAGAAAAATTTTCAAGTCATTTTTACAACTCTAGAACGTTAGAGTCCATACTCTCCATACTAAACCAAGAGCAAAATTTCTCAGGGTGCAGTAAATGCAAAGATGTGCAGAATAATGGAGTGTAACATTTGTTTGAAAAATTGGAGGATTAACTAAATTCATTCTTCCTGCTGTGATCTTTAAGGAGAAAGGATGAGTTCAAGATTTATAGATTTTCCGAGTTTTATCAATCTTATTTTAGTTTGCCATCTTCCACTCAAACAACTCTGATTCTTTGTCAGTATCATTGCAATTCCCCCTATTTTTTGTTAAGTTTTTGCATGAGATTTTGTCATTACCACTAATATCGTTAAAGAAGTATAAAAAAGTATCATGTGTCAATGTAAACAGGGTTGCCCCACTCAGGGAAAACCAGGAAATGTCAGGTAATTTTACAAAGTCAGGGAGAACCGGGAAATGTCAGGGAAAATGACGAAAATGTCAGGGAAAATTTTTAAAATCACCTTCATTTGCTTTCTAGAATGGGTTTAAGGTTTCGAACAACAAATTTTGCCTGAAAACTATTTTCAATTATGCCTTCTTAACCATCCGTCACACCTTCCAATGTCAGGGAAATTCATTTTCTAAATTCTGTGACAACCCTGTGTAAAAATACTTGATCACATACCTTTTGCTCTCCTTTTCGCTCAATTATTTTAACCAGTTGTCACACAACTCGCAATGACCATTTCAGCTATGTTAGCCATCATCAGGTGCATTATAACGGAAACGAGAATAACGAAACAAAAGCTAAAAACGATTAGTAATGAGTTTTAAATATAAACAAACTCACTTGATAAGTTCAGGATAGAGTTGAAATGTAAAGAGAGGCTGAGGAAGCTGCCGCAAGTATAATTTGAGAACGTTCGCTATCACATTCGGATGTACATCGCTGAGATTAACCGAGCACCCGTAAGTTTCGAATTCTTGACATAGTTTTTCCACTTTTGACTTCACCCCTGAGACTCTGTATATACCCTGAAATATGTAAGAGTTTTGCGATTCTTATTTCCTTTACAATGGAGAATTTGCATGCACCTTTTTATCACTTCATCTGAAAGTGCTTAAAGAGCTGATTTCACAGTATTTTTTATATTTTTTTTCTGATATGGGAAATAGTATAAAAATATTTTTAAAAGTGAGAAAATGCACCGCCTAGTGACGTCATCTGGCGGCATTTCCCATCTAAACTCACGTATTTCTGCAGATTAGATCATTTTGTCATATCTTCTCCAATAATTGTTCAATTCTTGAACCAAGGGTATCCTCGTGTTCAGTTCTTGCAGTAGTTTCCACTTGAACACGAAATTTATCTTTCAGACACCTGCAAATTCTCTATTGTAAAGATCTCCCCCGAGTGCTCAAAGAAATATCATGAAATACTTATTGATGAAGAGAGGAAAAAACGTTAAGTTATTTATATTAAAGGCTACTGCAAAAAAGCATATCGATGGTATAAGTCGACAATCACATAACGTGGTTTGCAATGTCGCAGACTTTCTGTCATACTTTATATTTTAAATGGAACAATTTTTTTAGATGTTGATATAAAAAAATCTGATTCAGAAAAAACATAACAAACGAGAAAAGGCGACAAAATCTCTCATTTCCTGAGAGTATAGTAATTTCTAATTTTGTCGTCTTTCGGTAATACAAAAGACAACACCTTTAATTAGTCGAGTTAAGAGAGTAATCAAACATGCAATCTGGCCTGGAAAGGCGCGGCGCAGAGTGCAATGATGACGAGGACTTATAATGAAAAGGAGAAGCCCTCGGCGCGGCGGCGGTCGGCATGTAACACATATCAGCGCCTACGAGACTGCATGAATACTTCACGCATTACGCCAAACACACAGTGCGGTCAGCAGCAGTCGGCGTGAAACGCAAAGCGCCTACAAGACTGTAGGAATACTTCACACCTTGCGCCGAACACAGTGCGGTCGGCGCGGTGGCGGAAGTCAAAATTAAACCTTATTTGTGTTTTTTCTTTCATAATTTTTTCGTTCATTTCTTATGAATGGAAGGCCTTGTCCACGCAGAGATAGGTTTACGAAACTTAACTTTCGCGCATAGTTCTGTGAACTTCAGCCAGTAGTTTTGTCAGGACTTTCGCAAAGAATGTATCCAACACGAGTAAACGCGTTTCATGCACCCGCACCCCTTTCCCACCGGCAAGTCCACTTGATGGTTTTTATTGATGTTTCAAAACGAATAAGAAGGGGGCGGCAAAATACATGCGGCCCATAGGAGGCAAAGGAGGTAAATTCGGCCCTGCTCCAATTAATGAACTAGGTGATGAGAACACTTAAATTAATAATACTACCTATTTCCAAAAGCTTTTACGTGAATCCTCTTTTCATATTATTTTAATAACGCACTTTTCGTTCTAAGAAAGTATACTCCCTGATTGTGAAAAAATGTGCTGAGACGAAATTTACAGTTTATTCCTTATAGAAAAAGTATATTCTGCAGGATTTTCTTCAAATTGATAATAATCATCAATTGAGGGGCTTGGAGGACAAGGCGCATGAGTGCAGTTTTTCGAAAAATTGAGATACTCATGAACTCAACTAAAACTAGTTTGAAAGTATATTCTGTGAAAAATTCACAACTAAAATCCACCTTTAAAGCATCAAAAATTAGTTTAAGTAAACTTCCTTTCCGCCATAAGTCTCCATGTACCTAACTTTCAAACTTTAAACGCGTATTTCTCGAAATAGCAGAAACTGCACTTATGCACCTTGCCCGCCAAGCCTCTGAATTAAAATAGTTATTGGAGGAGAGACTATTGGTCCCTCATTATGTTTAAATTTTTATGAGAGGAGAAATGCGGATACCTTAATAAGAATGCCTCGTTCATCTATCTCTTGTATACATTTTGTCACAATATGAGGAATCGTAGCGCCAGTAGCCTTCAAATGCTGCTCTAAAGGAACCCCGAACGTTGTCAAAGCATCACTGGTCGAGGAGGTGTTCGAAACTTGTCTGTCGGTTTTCTGGAAAAAATATTAATCAAAATTAAAAAATTATAATTCATGGTCATAGGTCGATATATTCCACTCGTATTTTCAAAATCATACGAGAAAAGTGTAATTTTAAATACCCGCAGTAAAATTTCAGCGAGATACCCTTTCCCTCCTGGAGAAGCTACAAGCCCTGTCGTTTCCGAAATTTCTCTCGCAGCCTCCTAAGATAGACGAGGGCCCCCTCTCCTGCACCACTTACTTGTCGAAGGCAACCTGTGGGCTGAAACTGATAGACGAAGAAGACATAGGGAAAATGGAGCAATCCTATTGGTGGAAGCGGGTGGTTGCAGAGGATAAAGGACGTGAGTTAAGAGACTAACGAACGGTAACCCACGATGGACCCTACAGTGAGTCCATCATATTCTTCCCTCGTCTGCGATGATCAGCCGTTTCAACCAATAGGATCTCTCCATTTTCCCTTTGTCCTCTTTCTCTATTGCATTGTCTATTATTGTAATAATCAGCCAGGCTTGCGTATGTCTCTGTTGCTTCTGTCAACAGGGATCCAGCTTCAAATTCTGAGACCCCTCCCCTCCCCCATAATTAGGTTTTGTTCATACCTACATCTCGACATAATCGAATTACAGGCAATGAGGTTAAGCTTGCTGTCACATTTATGTATAATAATAAAAAAAAGTATGTTTTCTGTGATTTAAGAACTTTTAAATCTCGATTGATCCTGGTTTCTGTTATACCAACCTTGAACAAAATTACCTTCTCGATTATATGCCACGGCCCCTTTACAACCTTCTCGGAAAATTAATACAGCTCTTGAAGAGACTTTAATCCTATTTACTAGAACCCTTAAAGAAATATCTGGTCTTTCATGACTCACCTTTACATTAATACTTGGAGTGAATTCGAAGTCTATCTCGCCGCTAGTGCCCAAAACGTATTCTGAAACCCTGGAAATAAAGAGCCATTCAGTTTTAGAGAAATCATAAAGGAAAAATGTACCAAGCTAGAGGAAAATATAGCGAAGTTGAAGGAATATGTAAAAAGACTCGTATACAGTCTGTATACCTATCGACTTTTTCGTTCAATAAAATACATTCATAGAAAAGAATGAATAAATATTAACAAAATAGAAAGATATCAAGAGGTGAGAATTTAGGATAGAAAAGTAGAGAATAGTCTCTGAATAGCGCGGTGTAGCCTGATACCACTATACGAACACGCTCGTAGGTGTATGGTATCATCGTCAATTGAAGGCGAAATGAAAATTCCACTCACATGAAGCACGTAGCTTTTTCATGACACTTACTCATGTGCTCCGCCATTCCAATAATTTAACCCAGCTATGTTTGAAATTCTCACCAAAAATGTGAACAAATGAGTTTAAAGCACCTATGAAGTCAATTATTCTGATAAGAAGAAACTTTAGTCCTCACTCTTAAACTACAACGACGGCATCTTCGGAGGAGATAGACACAAGTCGGACAGAATTCTGTTTGCGTTTTTGCGGAGACTGCGTGTAACGAAAATCATGCACAAAACTTTTCTAGAATTGATATTTTTAATGGATTTAAGCGGGGAATTAATCGTTTTGCCATCCTTACAAAATTGCGTTTGATTGCGCCCTAAAATTTCGGCTCACACCTTTCGTGGTAATTCTCATCGTGATTTTGTAGTCATTTCTGTAAAAAAAACTACACGGAAGAAACAACTTAGCGGTACAGCTTTACCCGGTCCAGCTCTACTGCCTTTAGTTGGCGCTATTTTACCGTGAGTGTTAGAACTCAGCGCTAAGTTGTTCTTTTCCGTGAAAGCTCCTTTTTGCTCCAGCTGAAGTTTGCAACAAGCTCATTCGCATTCGCAAGAATATTTGAATTTTATCACAAGAGATTTGACAACATCAAAATGTACAAACGGAGTTTTTTCTTAAGGTGATTCGTGAAGCTCAAGTGACGTGGTCGAACTGGCATGCTATATATCGCATCGATTAGGGCAAAACTTTCGGCGGCTTTTGAATTTTTAGTAAAAAAAAGGACGATAGCCCCTGAGCATAAGCCTAAAGAATCATTCTAAACCCAAAAATGGGCAAAATTCAGAGAAATTGAAGCAGAATAGTGTTTGGAAAAAAAAAACATCGCATTCGATTCAGCTATCGATTTCTGTATCGAATGCGAGGTTTTTTTCCCAACACCATTCTGCTTTCCATACTCTGAATTTTGCCGATTTGTGGGTTTGGAATGATTCTTTAGGCTTATGTACAGGGGCTATCGTCCTTTTTTTTACTAATAATTCAAAATCTGCCGAGATTTTTTACCTAATCGATTCGATATATCGCGTACCAGTTCGACCACGTCACTTGAGTTTGACGAATCACCTTAAGAGTAGCAAGAGTAGAGGCCGTTTCGGTTCTTCCTCCAGAGACTTCCTTCCGTTAAATGTATCGTATCATCGAAAAGAGTGGTCTCCTGGCTCCAAGACTGACGAATTGATTTGGAGATTTGTGCATATATGCAGTAGATTACAAATATTTTTTTTTACATTTTCGGAAAGAGGAGCTAGTAAGACTATGGCCTTTTTCTGTAGGAAGCTCCTCTCGTACAGAATATCTGGTGCTGTGACTTACCGTATACTAAATGCAATGGCTAGTTCGTCAATAGACTCTTGGATGTCTTTTCTCTTTCCAGAAACCGTACATCCTGAAAAAAGGAATTGATTGCTCTTATTCATGAACCAAACAGGGTATTTTATCAGACATCAATCCATCCTCAATGAGCATGAAGGATTAGATGTAGGAAATTTGAAAAAAAATCGAGTGTCAGGGAATTAACCTGGACGATTGCCCGTAGAAATTCCAAGCCGGGTCAAATTTATCCGATTATCGGCTTTCAGGGAGTTCAAAAGAGCTTTAGGTGTAGGTCTACATGTACATCCTTAAGTATAGAATCAGACATCAAATTAATAAAAAAAGAAACAAAATCGAGTGTCAACAGAGCCGAAGACGAATTTTGGCCTCGTTTTTTAACTTTTCTCGCAAATCTGAGCGACATCTCACTAGCGGCATACTGCCGTGCTAAGGAAGAACGCCGTATGAACCTTCAGGCGTTGCCAGATTTCGATTGATGAAACACAAATTCCCTGGTAAACTTATGAATATTTTTCTTCCAATTTTTCAGATAATATCTTTCGCAATTTCCTTGAAGTTCCTGAAAATTTCAAGGAACAGTGTTCATAATTTTCTCAAAAAAGAAACATTTTACTGAGGAAAATCTAGCAACTCTCGAATGTTCATACAGCGTTCTTCCTTAGCACGGCAGCATAGAGCAGAGCATTGCGAGTTGATGCCTCGCGCCATCGCGCCTTCAATTTTGCAGATGCAACACGGACATCCATCAAGCACGAATAGTTGTATCTCTGCGCCGCGTCGTCATCAACGCAAGTCCTTTCCCTTGCTCTACTTTCTGTATTAACTGCACTTATGCGCGCCTTGTCCTCCAAGCCCCTCTATTAAAAGACTATTTACGAGTACATTAGTTGATTAATTTGTGACGTCTTCTTACCTTGAGCTAAATTAACCAGATTTTGAGCTTTCAGCAATATCTCTGTCGATTGAAGCACTGGGTAAACCATCAGCATGTGTTTTAAAACATCCAACACATCTGCCAAGGCCTCGTGTACGTTGATATCGTTTTTCAAGTCATCTTTATCTAGGATGGGAAAGAAAATTGTCAGTGGGAATTATCTTGTCTCAACTTTTCAGAATTGTCGCGGACAGAAAGGATTATTTGGTTATGGTTGTTTAGAAATTATCCTGTCTTAAATTACTAGAATTATTACAGATTAATTGGGGGATGAGATTTATTTCAGCGGAAAAGTCCGTTCATTGATACGTCTGACATAGTGATATTCGTTTTTAGATCACTGATAACGATACGTGGACTTCATTTTGCAGTTAGGAACTAATACTGCAGGCTCGATTTAGAAACATCGTATGTGCTATTAATGTTACCACACAGACACATGCCTCTTATCTTTTTCGTCTTCTTCTTCTTCTTCTTCTTCTTCTACTACTTTTCCTCTTTCCCGCCCTGCTTTTCTTCTACCTCTTCTTCCTCGTTTTTTCGCTTCCTCTTCTGTCCTCTTTTTCCTTTTTCTCCCCTTCCTCCTCTCTTTGTTGCTCTTCCACCTTTTCTTTATCTTCATTTTCGTCGTTTTTCTCCTTTTTCTTCCCTCATTTATTTTCTCCTTCCTCTTCCTTTTCTCCTTCCCATCTTATTCCTTCTCTTCCGTTTCTTTTTTACCTCTTTTTCCTCTTCTTCTTCTTCTGTCTCTTGGTCTTCCTCTTCCTTTTCTCCTTCCCATCTTATTCCTTCTCTTCCGTTTCTTTTTTACCTCTTTTTCCTCTTCTTCTTCTTCTGTCTCTTGGTCTTCCTCCTCCTCTCCCACTTCGATGTTTCTACGCATACAGTGATTTAGTGAACAAGCCAAAAATAGTAGTTCCTATTTGGAAAACGTAATCCATTTACACTGCAATATATTGCAGTAAAGTGCATGCAGATAATCGCCCCACGCCCCATTGTGGCGATCGAGTCGATCAGAGAGGTCGGGCATGAAATTTTTAACTACAACTGCAAATTTTGATGTTCTTTTGGTCATATTTTAAATTTTAAGGGGTGCCTCTGGAAGGGAATTTCACGAGGATACCAATGGAACCACATTCAGAACTTCAAAGTTTTGTATAAACGGAGTTATGAGCTCCAAAAGTTTCCAAATTTTGTCCGACCTCCCCCATTGACTCGATCCACTGTGCGCCCCATGGGAGGGGGGGGGGAGGTGTAGTTTCCCTTTTAGATGACATTCATAGTAATTTTTCCTCCTCTTCCCTGGTAAAAGTGAATCAGCCTGACGTCAGGCTATGTTTCATAAACTACCCTGAATCTGACTGATTCATGCTGACATCAGTCTAACACACTGAAAAAAAATTCTCGGCGTTTTTACCAAGGTCCGTTGGTACCTTTACCATCTCACTCTTTTTACCAATTATTGGTAATTTTACCAAGACAGACTGGTAAGCTTACCTAAAAACCGGTATTTTTACTGTTTTTTCAGGTAAGAATACCACTTTTATTGGCAATCAATTCCCGGTAACTCTGCCATTTTATTTCGGTAATTTTACCACAGTCAGTAAAAAATATTGGCGTTTTTACCAAGGTCCAGTAAAATCACCGAAAAAGTTCAATAACTTTACCGAGATTTCTCGGTGAAATTACCAATTCCATAAATGGTAATTTTACCAAGAAAAAACTGGGATCAAATAGAACCCTGAATTCTTGGTAATTTTACCCTTTTCTTAGTAAATACACCGAGATTTTTTTTTCAGTGCACCAGCCTGAATCAGTCTGACTCAGGATAGTTTATGAAATATAGCCTAACGTCAGGCTGATTCACTTTTACTAGGGTTTTCCGGGTTGAAAATGAAAGCCGACCTCTGACACTTACTTGTTACCCTGGAACAGATGCGCGTTAAGATCTTCAAAGATTCTTTCAGTTTTTGGATGCTGAGAGTCAAAGAAGTGAGTTCCTGGATTTTGGCGATCTCCTCATTCGCCTCCGTGACGTCGGAGGCTTTGGAGGTCTGACCAGCCGTTGCCATGGCGACGCGACGCGACGCCCTCTACTGCGAGAGAATCAGTAGCTCTCAACGCATCCTTTCAATTACCAGTTGCATTATCCTGTGCCGATTTTTGAAGCTTCTTGAAGCTATGACACATTTTGCAAAGGGCAAGATCTGATGTGCCCTGAATGTCCGCTTTCTGTCTTTTTGGAAAGGAGCTTTGGTTGGCTGTGATATCGCGTAGAATCAATTTATCTTGATTTAAGTCATTCGAACTTTCGAGGTATGGCAGAATGCAGCTTGCCTATTATAGGGTGTTCTGTTTACCTCCTCTGCTTATTGACTGAAACAAAAACGTTTTCTCAAATGAGGTATTTCTTAAACAGAAAAAGTTAGTAACGTAGTCAACGTGCGTTAAAAATCAGCATAAAGCTGAAAATCTCAATACAGAGAGAAAAAGCTCATAAGAGCACAATTTTCTGTCAAAGAGATGTGCTGTTTGGTGCAACGCTAGTTACAATTTTAACTAAAAGTTTAACTACAATGCAAACGATGACACGCTATAGTAACAAGGTTCTATGACAAAGTCATTTTTGTCTTGATAGTCTCAAAAATGTATACATCATAGTGATCAAAGGTCCAACTACTTAGAAAAATGGCTCACGGAGCGAGCCGAATGTCACTCGCTTGGCGAGTGATCGGGGTCCAGCGGGCGCAGCCCCTCGGTTAGCCGTGACAGACGCGCGGAGCGCCCCCAGAACGGCTAGTAATGGAATAAGACAGTTTTTACGTAATTAATTCTCGCACATTTTTAGCACTTTGGCTACATACCAACCTATTAAGTAAATTTAGTGCTACTACCAGTATGTTGCAAATTAATGACAAACTTTAGGTACGTATTATGAGCTTCTTAAGACCTATTCCCGAGACTAGAAGCTCAGCGACCCCTACCCCCCATATAGGCCTCATAATTAGTGATTTCCCTACTGTAAGTATACCACTCAAAAATAAATATATATGTCTATTATATTGGATGCACCCATCATCAATTTAGAATCCATATCGAACAATACAGAATCACAATTTTTTTGCCATCACACCTTCTTGTTTCGTTTAGAAAATGAAAAGAAGCTATCTTTATTCTGTATTGTGTCAACCAATGAGGGAAAAAGGAGGTGCGAGCGTTTTGTTTATGTGCGACTCATTGTCAGTCCAGCTGACTTGTCACTTCTAGGTTATAATCCACGAGCGAAGTCAAACTTACCCCATCGTCTTCAGCCCTGATCCCACCAAACGGCACTTCCAGAAAGACGCACACTCTTAGAACAACGATCTAACCGGCTCTTCGGCAAATTATCGTTAAGAATTCTGAACTTGAGCGAACTGTTTACGAAAAACTAAAGGGAGCGAGAAATTTTTCGGGCGTTTTTGTTTTTTCACTCGAGCGGCCACGGGTTCGAGCTTCTCCACTGCTCCAAGCTCGCCGGGTTATTTTTACCCCGGAGAAGGAAGGAAGGAAGGGCTGCGTTGTCGAGTCTCTGATCCCTCGAGAAACCTGAGAGTGACGTCGTTATATTCCGGCAGTGACGTCATTATGTGTGACGAAGCAAGAAAAAATGTACCTCCAGATTGGTCAGCGGGCTGATTATTGAAATTGATAGACAAAGTAGACAATGGACATAGGGGGTATGGAGCGATCCTGTTGGTTGAAATGTGTGGCTCTCATAGATTAAAGGAGAAAATGATGGACTAGCTGTCGGGTTTCCCGTGAGTTGCCGTTAGTTAGTCTATAACCTACTGCCTTTGTCCATTGCAACCACCCGCTTCTGCCAACAGGTCCCCTCCATATCCCTTTTGTCAGCTTTGTCTATAAATTTCAATAATCGGCCCGCTGGCGGTCAGCGCGTCGGAGGAAAATTTGAAAAAAATGAGGCTTGATTACGCCTTTCCTTTTTTCGGCTGTGTCGCTCACGTAGCCTTGAAGCACCACTTCAAATAAGACAAACGGAAACAAACACACATAGAATATAGAGCAAGGGAAAGGAATTGCGTTGATGACGGCGCAGAGATACAACTATTCGTGCTTGATGGATGTCCGAGTTGCATCTGCAAAATTGCAGGCGCGATGGACGATGGCGCGAGGCGTCAACTTGCAATGCTCTGCTCTATGTTGCCAGTGAGATGTCGCTTGAATTCGGGAGAAAAGTTAAAACAAGCAGGAAAGCTCCAATACGTTCGTGTTAGAGAAAAGCTCAGCTGATTTTCAATGTAGGCGCGTTTTTAGTTCCCTGGAGAAGATGAGCATTATCGAGATTAAAGAAACCCTATTGGGGAATTCTTTTAAATAAAAAAATGGCATTATTTTCATTAAAAGTGAACGTAAAATTTACGTGAAAAACAACAGGCTATATCCTCAATGTTTTATGGGCTGCAACTTTTCCAACTTTTCTATCCACCACTTTTTTCCCCTTCACAAGACGAATCCCAGTGTGTGCTGTGACAGTGTTCTGCCTTCCCCGGGCGCCATCCGCCAAATACGCCGAAAAATCGGTCCTTGGCGCCTAAAAATCGGGGGAGCTGGGCCATCGTGGCGCCTAAAAAATTTGACAGATTGAACTCGCATTCGGGAAGTAGCGGTAGCGATGAAGCGCTCTCTATACGCTCCGTTCGCAGCATCGCCATGGCCGGTATGCACAAATTTAATTTGGCTCCAAAAAAAAGAGTATATGGATCCTAAAAATTAAAGTTTAGGGGGAAGGCAGGACACTGAATGGAGATGTTGCATGTGCGAGGAATTTGCGATTTGACTGTTGATTCTTATGTAAAAGTTCGCGAGAAACACGATGGTGCCACTGGTTTTCTCTGAAATCAACTCCCAAGCTCAAAAAAAGCTCTCAAGTTGAGGCCAAAATGGAGGGGATATCCCACCCTACCCTGAGAGTCCACCTCTACATCAAGACAAACTCTCCATGCAAAGATAGGGAGCAAATACATTAGCAGTGATGCCGTGTTTTCAGTTTTGGAGTCCCCAAATAAAGTGGCAGCCTTGTCAATGTATTTGCTCCCTATCTTTGGATGGAGAGTTTGTCTTGATGTAGAGGTGGACTCTCAGGGTAGGGTGGGATATCCCCTCCATTTTGGCCTCAACTTGAGAGCTTGTTTTGAGCTTGGGAGTTGATTTCAGAGAAAACCAGTGGCACCATCGTGTTACTCGCGAAGTTTAACGTAAGAATCAACAGTCAAATCGCAAATTCCTCACACATGCAACATCTCCATCCCCAGAGCGTTTCACGGATGAGTGCCTAAAAGACTGCCGTGATAGCGAAGAGAGCCGTAAGTGCAAAATTTTCGAAATCGAGTTTTCTTCAAAATTCGTCTAAACTCTTTCAGATGAAATTACTGAGATAGCTAAAACAGCAAAATTCATCCTATTTTAATGAAAACTGACGTATGTAAAAGCCGTAACTGCACAAAAAATGACACAGTTTTTTTTCAAGACAGCCGTAGATGCATGAGAGCCAATGAAAACAGTGATTTCCAGTAAAGTGCCGCCCTCTTCTGCCAATTTCTAACCTGAAAATGTGTTTGTTGTGCGTCCAAAACGCAACCACGAAAGCATGCAGAAGATAGCTTTTACGGCTGTCTTGCTTAACAATAACCTAGCATGAAAATGAAAAATACCCTTTTTATGTAATGGAAATAAAATCAGTCGATTTTTAATCATCCATACGATTTGTAGGCGTCTTCCGGACGATTAGTGGCAATTCGACACAGAACGGAGGCTTCTTTCAATAAAATGACCTTGTCAGAAGCTTCTGAGCCCGTTTTCTCAAAACTTCATTTTTGCACTTACGGCTCTCTTTGCTATCACGGCAGAAGAGTTCTAGGACAAATGAAAATTATCCTGAGACATCTGGCAACGTGGCGCAACTGTAGTGCCGATCGGAACACTCCACCTGGAAAGGAACTATTTCCATCCTAGATTCGGCAACCTCCACCGGGAGCAAAAAAGCCGAGGCCTCTCTCCGACTCGCTCCGATTCTAGTCTGTGTTTTACGTGCAATGTGCATGAATTCGAAAGTTCGCGCGTGACCACAAGGTCGAAGTGATAAGGGTGAACTTATGCTCCTCGGTTTTTTGTTACAGTTTCCGCGCCCCCCTCCACGCGCCCGCACGCCAGAGCTGTGACGTCATCGTTGAAACATCGAGTCCACTATGAAAATCAGGTAAGAGCTCATATTTCATGACCGTCAACACTTGGCAAACGTGTTTCTTGGGCAGATGGGTATTTCATCGGCGTATGTGATTTTTCAACCTGTTTTGGAGGGAGAGAGGAGTCGTGTGGTTACAATTTTCTTTCTATCCGGATCGAGCAAGGGGTGATATTGAGGAATTTTGTTTTGTACTGCTTGACCTCATTTTGGCACAGAACGATATCAGGGTTGTCGCAGTCAGGGAAAACCGGGAAATGTCAGGGAATTTTTAAATGTCAGGGAAAATGACGAAAATGTCAGGGGAAATTTCTTAAATCACCTTCATTTGCTTTCTAGAATGAGTTTAAGGTTTCGAACAACAAATTTTGCCTGAAAACTATTTTCAATTATGCCTCCTTAACCATCCATCACATCTTCAATCGTCAGGGAATTTCATCAAAATGTATCAGGGAAATCAGGGAAATGTCAGGGAAAATGACGAAAATGTCAGGGGAAATTTGTTAAATCACCTTCATTTGCTTTCTAGAATGGGTTTGAGGTTCCGAACAACAAATTTTGCCCGAAAACTATTTTCAATTATGCCTTCTTAACCATCCATCACATCTTCAATCGTCAGGGAATTTCACCAAACTGTGTCTGGGAAATCAGGGAAATGTCAGAGAATTTCATTCTTTAAATTCTGTGGCAACCCTGACGATAGTGAAACTGGAAAAACGTACATCAATGGCCAAAGTGGGGCGCCACGTATCTCTATTGCGGTGTTTCAAAATTTCCGCTCCTAGTTTATCTCTTCCGAAAATAAACAAGCCGACTGTATGACTCGTATTAACACAGATTATGCCGCACCCGTTTGTCGATCGGTCATGTGACCTCTCAGGATCAGAATTGGCCAAGAAACGGCATGTTTTTGACATATTTGTGAGTAGGTAAATTCGATGGACATTCATAAAATCTTCATGGAAATCACTGGCGGATCCAGCAAATTGGCAACATCGCTTTTTCTCCATTTAAACCCATATAAATATATCAATTCTCGGAGGGGCCTGGTGCTCCGACAAGAATCGATTATTTAGCATAGGTTTGAGTGGAGGAATTCGGTGTTGCCAAATTTCTGGATCGGTCTCTGGATCAAATCTTTATGGAAATCGTCTAATCATCGGGCGGACTCACTGACTGGCTTCAGTGGCGAGGCGTGCTTTGCGATATATCGATTGATATGCTTTTTAAACCCATGAAAAAGGATCGATGGACGGGGTGTTCGCAGCGAACTCACTAACAATCGATTCTTTACTATAGCTTCAAATGGGGAAGTATCGATAATCGATAATTCACGCCACGCCACTGGCTGGCTGGAGGGGAGGGGGGAGGATGAGTGATCGCTCCCTCAACTTTGATCAAAGCTCCCTTTTGACGAAATTTGGAGATCTCATTAGACATGGTTGCCTTTAAGGGGCCTTTAAATTACTTCCGTGTCCTCCATCAAGAGGGCCCCTATTGATGGAGGTCACGGAAATAATTTAAAGCCCCTAATATTTTAAGGCCCTTTGGTGTCTTTTTTCGTTTAGCCAGTCCGTCTCCGTTAATTATGTCATGAAAATTTATCAGACAAAAAGTCTTTGTTGTCATAGAATTTGAGATGTCTTGCTATTATCTGATCTGAGTCCAAATTTTCACAAGACAAAAATTTAAAACTACTTCGATAAAATAAAAAAAAAAAGTTGAGTAGCCATTCGATGAAAAGTTAGGTTTATTTAATAGAATTTGATGAAAATTTGATCAATATTTGATTAAGAGCTGGTGTAGAAAGGATTCGCTCGGATAGGAACTGAAGTTATATAAGTTTGCCATTTGTGGACCAAACGCCAATTTTTGTCACGGACAAATTATTGGAACAATTTGTTCAACAACGAGAAGAACAGTTAAGAAGTTAAGCTAACTTGGGAATCCTGTAAAGCATACCAATACGCAAATAACATTTCTGATACCAAATAGACCGAGGTTAGAAATTTCTTTTTCCGGTTCGAAATACGAAGCTCTTCCATCGCGTTTTTTGTGTACAGCGAAATGACCTTGGAAATTCAATGAAAAGCAAAAATATTCTTCAAACCCAGTTTTGCGTCGATATAATTTTTTTTTTTTTTTTTTACATTGTTTCACCATGACGCTATCTACTTTCCAAACTATCAAGAACATAGGAGAAAAAACTGGAAACAATACTAAAAATTACACTTACCTAAAAATCCTAG